AGGTGAAGAACAGAACGATAGTCCCCGATGAATGGGTGGATAGCACCAGTGTGCTCAACCCTTTCCACCACGACTTTGCCTATTGAAGTGAATATTTGCACATTGCCTCGTAACTCATGCCAAACTTCGCTGAGCGCTCTTCTTGAACGTGGCAATGTTGACACACACTTCCGCACGAGCTCGAATAGGGGATCTACTTAAAAGTAATCAATCTGTTTCCAGCGGTTCATTGGCAGTACCAGACCTTTTGAACCATTCCACGCCTTGCGGTTTACTCGGCCGTCGTGCCCTTGTACAATGTTGAGGCAAGGTGATGAGAGTCTGCAAACATCTTTGTAGCCTTGAATACGGGTTCAATTGGGTTTCGTCGAGCAGACGAGCTCGAATTACCTTCGCCATATACAACCAACATTGCATGAAATGAGGATTCAAAAGCGGAGAAAGGTAATGGAGTGGAAACAGTAAAGAGTTGCATGTCATGATGCAAGTAAGTCATGGTAGTACACAAGTTTCCAGACGTTGCAGGAAGCCGATGTTGCGGGCTATGTCGTAACCCATACGAATGTTTTCAATAGCTTGATATTAGGCAGCATAAAAGATTTGTGTCTTACGGACCATTTAAAGGCTATATTTGGGACTGAAAACCAAAAAGTGGCAACACGTTGGGGGTTTGCTTTCATTTTTGAACTTTGACGACTAGATAGAAAGGCCATACTCAACAGACAACGTACTGTTGGCTTCGCATTAGTGTTTCGTCGTCCATGGATCTGCAAGAAAACACCAAAAACAAAAGGAGTACATTTCAGTTCGCATATTAAACTCCCATCAAAAGGTCTCATAACACCTGAGCTTTTAAGAAACTCAGCCCATTCAGGGTGTATGGCTACGGAAAAGTTCGGTCTTCAAAGAAACCACTTAACGTCACAAATACGTGACGCGGCCGCTTCACAAGCTTACGACGACTAAACTTGTCTGAAAACACCTTTCAAAGTGGCATCAGTCGGTTTACACCAACCATATGACTGAGTGAAAGCCATCAACCTTGAAGGTGAAAAAAAACCCCCGATGCTCCATGAACCACCATAGCCTGTGGCCTTTCACCATCCATCTCGAATAAAAGTGTCCACCCACACCCCATCGTTTCGTAATATGATGATTTTCCACATCATAATAAATATACTGCTGTCTGTTTGGATATGTTTAAAAAATGATTTTAGGAGACTCCATAGGGAAAGTGATATACCTCCTCCTGTGAGATAATTGCTTTGGCAACAAAATCATCGTCCTCCTCTTCGCTTTCTTCGGAGCCACCCTGCGACGTTTTATCAGCACCCTATAGAAAGAGTTAATACCTTTATCTGTCAAGTCTACCAGAGTATATCTTACTGAGAGGCGAAATGCGGGGACGCACACTAATCTTAACCAACTTGGCATAAACCCCATCCTTGAGAGCCATGAGTTGATTGTGATTGCCAACCTCGACAACACGGCCCTTGTTAACAACAATGATGGAGTCAGCGTCGCGAACCGTGGAGAGACGGTGTGCCACCATGACGACAGTGCGACCGATCTTGGCGTTATCCAGGGCTCGCTGGACGTACTTTTCGGAGCGCGTGTCAAGAGCAGAAGTAGCCTCGTCCAGGAGGAGAATACGTGGTTTGCGTATCAGTGCGCGTGCAATCGCCAGCCTCTGCTTTTGACCTCCAGACATTGCACCACCACCTTCGGCGATGAAGGTGTTATAACCCTTGGCGGAACACAATGTACCATCGCAAGAGTTATTAATGCCCTGCCTGAGCAAATATTCGGTTAAGGGTCCACCAGCTCTTTTGTACCCTTGTGACCAAGAGCTTTCTTGAACCATATGAAGTTAACAAACAATGCAATAGATGCGAACCCGCCTTACCTCTGGCAGTTTGGAAACGAACTCATGAACGAGCGCCATCTTCGCAGCTTCCTCGACCTCTTCGTTTGTGGCGTTGAGAGAACCAAGTCTAATGTTTTCGGCCACCGTGCCCGCGAATAAGACGGGCTCCTGTGAAACCACGCCAAGCTGCTCTCGGAACCAGACCAAATCTAACTCTCGAATATCCACCCCATCAATGAGAATCTAAAAAATGTTCAGAGCGCCATCAAACACATAAACTAGGGATTCTGCGGTCTATTAATTAGGTGTATAGCTAAACTAGACAAAATTCTAGAGAAAAAACAACTAAACAAAGTAAAAATGCAATATTCCCGTACCCGTCCATCATTTGCATCATAGAAACGTTGGATCAGTTGAATTACAGTACTTTTACCCGAGCCACTAGCCCCAACGATTGCAACAGTTTGACCTGCTTGAATGCTTAAAGACAAGCCGTTCAACACCTAGAGGCAAAAAAAGCGAAAGTTCTCTGGTTTCACACCACTCACTTGGACGGATTTTCTTGTTGGATAAGAGAAATGGATGTTTTCAAACTGAATATCTCCTCTAAATTGTTCCAGAACTGTGCCCCCCTCCTGTTTACCGATGGGTGGAATCTATAAGAAACGGTACGATGTAAAAAGCTGACTGCCTACACGATCAATGATGGGGAATATTTCACTGGCAGATGTAATTGCAATGTTGAACGAATCAAGCTGAGACAAGGCTTGTCCAATTGTAATGGCACCAATCAGCATAGTAAATACCACCTGAAAAAAAGAGTTACAACATGATTCAAAGTGAAGCTAAACGCTGAGCTGTAGCGTTATTTATCGCTTGTGAACGCAAGCCTGTGGTCAACAGGGTTAAGCCAGAATGCTGGCTGTTAGAGGCATTTTTTGGAAAACTTAACATAATAATATCACCCGGATTTGAACCGTGTGTCGTTAAGAGCACCATGCCATAATAGAACGTTACGGATATCAGTATATAGACGAATGCTTCAGACATCCCAAGAACTGTACGAGAATTTAAGAAGAATGGAAACAGAGGGATTCAGTCAAAAACTTTATGGTTAGATGGATTATTTAGCCATAAAGACGAGTTTTCAAATGCGAAAGTGCTATTGCTGACAACGAAAATCCACTTCCATTGCACACCGATAAATGAACAAATGCATAAGAAATAGTCTAGGGCCTAAACAAGTACTTAATAGACAAATTTTAAAGAACCTTGATAAAGTAATGGGGCAGTTTACCTCCACTGACACTGGTTGACATTTTTATCCCGTACTTTTCAGCCTCATCAAGTTCAGAAGAGTAGCGTTTCAGCTCAGTCTTCTGCCCTTCGAACGCAAATATTGTTCTTATTGCACCCAAGGCTTCACTTGCGATACTGTTAGCACGTTCGTAGGCTGTCTGTGTTTTTGTTGTGTATTTGCGAACAATATAACTGAGGATTCCAAAACCAATAACAATGGGTGGGAAAATAGCGCAGGCAACAAGTGAAAGCCTCCAATTTTTCGTAAATCCAATAATAAGTCCACTGACGAAAACTATGATACACTGAATAAATATGCCAAGTTTTTCACCGATTCCGGTTTCGATTTTTTCAACGCCTTCAGTAAGCTTTGTAATTAGACTTCCAACATTTTGTTCATCAAACCAGGCAACATCTTGCGCAAGTATTTGCTAGGATATCACCGATAAAATTTAGAACATACTCTGTATAAGAGGAGCCGTATTTTCCGAGATTGCAACTTTGCATTCAACTGGAGACAGAACATCTGTAGAAATCCGACAAAAAAAGTCACCGCTCCAATAATGGCAAACTTATGGATGATGGGCAGCACATCAAATTTGCCCGTAATCACAATCTCTAGGAAATCATTAACAAGATCCGAGAAGATAAGGAAAGTGACGGGCATCGAAGAACCAACACCACAGCTCATTAAAACTCCAAATGACATAATCAGTATTTCCACCAAAGATGCATATTTCATCTACAGTAAATACTTGTAAATTCTTTTACCAGGGTCCAAAAGTGAACATTTGCTTTGGCTCTAAAAATATATCGCAAATGAAACAAACTCACATTTGAGGTTCTTCTCTTACAGCCTCCAGGCCCTCCCGTTCCGAAACATCGGTCGACATTTCAAGGACTCCCAAGAACAACACGATTACGTGACTTTTAAAAGCAGATTTCAAGGTTGACGATTCCATTATGCATATAACACGTTAAAATGATTTAGTCACAAATTTGACAGCTACAAAACGCCAACGCTTCAAAAAGTAAAACAGTTAATAAAGTTTCCACACTGATATAAAAGCCATGTTGAATTCGAGTTTAGGTGAGCTCTTTGATCCTAGTTAGAGCGCAAAAGTCCCTTTTTATAAGCGCAGTTTTTTTTCGTGAGCACCTTTTGAGGAGAGACAAATGTGTTTTAAATAGTAAGGTCACACGGCAATCTGCAGTGGTTGCTTGGAAATTCTGGCGTATATCAGCTACTTTTTATTGTGTTATGTATTTTTTCGAAATTTTCCCTTTACATAAACTATAGTTCTTTGTCACTTATGGCTGCATCACATAGTCGCGTTAACTTGGACTGTCAGCAGTGGAAAAACTCAAGGTTATACACGTATAGGAAGTGCCTGGCGATCGTATTCCCATATTCTGAGTTTCGAGTTGTGGACCCTGTGGATTTATAGGTATTTGTAGCGGAGACATGACAAGTGACGGCTTTATTTATCCAATCAACTGTGGTTCTGCTGCTTCGAAGGTTGATCGTGTCTCGCAACTCTCCAGTATGATTAACGATGAACGTAAAGTGTTACTAAAGGAGATTCGCTCTCGCTTATTGCGTCTTAAACGTATTGTTGACGAAAAACTAGTATGTTTTGCGTACTTTGTTCCGACTTCCTAGGCTCGCGATATTGTGGTAAACAAGCGGGAACTGGCGTGTCTCAAGCGTTTTTCCTTTGTTTTTGATGATGTTGATACACTTGAGGCAAGTTCTAAGAAAGTCGTGGATAAAGTAATCAGGGCTGTTGAAGTAGAGGACGATGACTTACTTAGTAACTTTGAAATTTTTCCTCGTAAGTTGCTGATAAATTCCCAAAATCTTAGGGACTGAACCAATTGAACCGCCGCCTTATCCAAGAAGTGAAGAACTCGATGTAGGAACTTTGATCTCTGATTACGTTGGGCAAAATCAATGCGGCTTGTTCGATGAGGCCTTGAAGGGTATTCGGATGTCTGACATAATTGCAGCCGTTGATATGGAAAGTGGAAATTCGAAAGCAGGCAAGAAAGTCAAAAGGAAGACTGGTCGAACAAAAGGAATGATTAAGCGGAATAGCCAACCATCATCTAAGAAAGCGGGAAATAGGTATACTAGTCTGTCAACGCCTTTGAAGACGTGACTATATCACCTTTATTCTCGTTCTTACGTCAAATTATCTGTTTCTCAAGGTGAGAGTGTTCATTTTTTTCTATCTTAAAGGGACCAGTTGCGAAGTCTTCCCCCCTTGCTGACGCAGTGAGTTTATTTGTTTTTGGCTTTTTGGAATCATGTTGAAACCGCTTCAATTTTGGCGTCGATCCCTTGTTTTAGATATGTGCGGGGGTTTTTTAATGTCCTTCGGATCATTCTGCTCACTATGGGGGATACAGGGGAAGGTCTATCTACGGAACGCCTCTGCGATATCGTTCATTTCTGGAATTCCAGTCCTCGTGTCCAACGAACTAACGCGCCGTGGATAAGCAAGGTACGGCACCACCCGAATTCACAAACTTTGATTTCCAACGCGTTTGCTGTCGATGGTATGCATGTAAGACTGACTCTCACCTGAGCTTTCACTTCAGACGTGAATGTAGAGCCTATTTAATGACATTTTACCCTATATTAGCTCAATACAACACCTAGAAAGGAGTGGACAATTTTTCTTAAGGACCCCGGTGATGAACGTGTCATACATTCACCATTTAATAGATTCACCATCACTCATAAAGCACCAGATAAATTGGTTATATATTGGTGGAACCGCTTTTTCGCCGTTACTAGGTTAATCAACCTCATTTTTGTTTCAACTAGCTGATGATAGCTATTCTGGAGGCATTTTAAGTTTATATTCCCCCTGTTATTGTTCGGTTTTATGTATCGGTGGTACGAAGGATAGTTGGACGAGTCCATTTTCCCAACTTAATCCGATTAATAATAGCTATTTAGGAGTAGTGTTCGGTATTTGCTCTACTCTCTCAATGCTTGGTTGTTTAATGTGTTATGATTATAGATGGGTCCTCGTTACTGCTCGTAATTAACTTCTGATCACTACTTTGAATAGTATTCGTTGGGCATTGTTATTAACGCCTATCCCGGTTGAGAGGATGATTGATAGCTGCTGATGTCTGCCTGGGGGTTGACTACGACTCCTTACTTAAATCGGTTCCTCTGCCTTTCAGTGTTCCGATTGGTCGGAATTGGTGCGCCCGACGCTGGTCCTTCTCTCCGGTAGATCTGCTTTGGCCGGCTTGAATCGTACCATCTCAAAGGCTAGTGCTTCATCGGCGGACCTGGAACACCTTCTGCCCCCAGCTTTCGTGGTCTTCAACGCAGCCACGCGGACATGGCGTTGGATGGGCAGTGGGCTGGAGGAGGAGAATGAAACGAACCTCCTTGCTCGTCTTTTCGCTCTGTGGGTGAAGAACGGTGGCTTAAAGCAACACATTCAATCTCACTTGGATGAAGTAGACAAGGAGTCAGATGAAGACGGGGACGAGGATGAAGAGGAGAGGTCTCGACGGAGGGCACTGCGCACAGATCGGGTTCCCCCGCCTTATTTGTAGGTCATGCATCCTAAGCGACTATGGTTTTTATTATAAATAACACTAACAAAAGATTCTCAAGACCCTAATGCTGACTGGTTTGTTGAGCCATCTAACACTGCTTCATTTTCGAAATTTGTAAGGTTTATTTTTTTCGTAATACGTGGATCGTATGCGTCAAACTGGGACTTTGAGGAATTCCTCTACACCGTTTCCTGTTACTTATAAAACTAGGCGGATAATTAACTAACACCGTACTGTATGTGCATAAAGTCGTCTGTACATGTCTGCGAATTCTTGTTCTACACCTTCGGTGACAAGGAACTTATTGCACCATCACACTTCCCATAACTGTTATTTACTCACACTGACAGGAAACTTTTGGTTCATTTGTACCATTACATACTTGTTTTACCTTTTTCACTAAAAATAAACTGCTTGAAAAAGACGTTCATTAATTAACAGACTCTTCTACTTCCGAAAAAAATCAATGAAGCATCCAAATTTATTTTAAATCGGTTGACTCTGCGTACCAAAAGAGCAAATTTGTAAGTAAACACCATTAATGTGCTATAGTTTGAGGCAACGACGGAGCATCATAATCTGTATTCCTTTTCATTACTGTTTAAGACTAAAGGTTTAGTTATTTTATTGTTGCATGTTTGTTTGCAGCGCCACGGACTGGCAATGTAAGCTGTCCACCCCTGAGCAGCGGCGCATATTCCAAATCCAGGTTAGTTCACAACAATTAATACCTTACTTTCAATTAAAATCGGACCTTAATTCCACTTCAAAACTTTCACTTTTGCCCTTAGCAATAGTTTTGCAGGAGAAAGGAAAGCTATAAGTGTTGTAGGACATTTCATCGCGTGCAAGGGTTTATTCTTAAGTGATACGTCAAGATGATGTCTCCATGCTTACGCACAGTCTAGAGCTTAAATCCCTTTGATGAATTTTTTTTCTACTCATCGGAGGGTGTTGGACAGTAAACATTTCGGAATCCTACCTGTTTGACTCATTGCCACGCCCGCTATCAGGGTCTCAGAGGAAAAGCGATCACCACAGTCCCCTGACTTCACACTGCTCAAAAACCAGAGGAGCGTATTTATTCTCACTTCGAAATCATACTGCGTCTGTTTATTGTTCTATACTCAGCTAATTCATTCGCAACGTACGATTTTGTGTTCATATTTATCGCAAACCGATTAGGGACATATGGCAAAGGTGACACAATGGTTGTTTTATCCATCCTCATGGTGACTCTGTCAGTCGCTTCGCAACATAACTTTTGTATGACAATCCTGTGGCTGCTTGATGATGGTTTTTATGGCAATCAACCTGGGAATCCATCCACGTGACATGGAATTCGCGTGACCTCCTTTACAAGGACAATCGATTTGGGGTGAGAGGAGGGGGCAGTTTTGAAATTGCGTGAGGCTCTCTAACCAGTGTGCGGGAGCGGCGATAGCCATGTCAGAGAGCGGTTGCACACCGGAGAAAAAGTCTGACGATTGCTTGTCTGCATCACAATCAAGTGGAAGTCCAAATACGTTCAAGAGTAGGAGTAGGAGCAGGAGCAGGAGCAGAAGTAGAAAGAGCAGTGAATGTAGTACTGGAAGCGGAAGGAAAACCGCAACCAGAAGGAGAAGCTTTGGAAGCGCAAGCAGACGCCGAAGCAATAGCCCGTGCAATAGTAAAGCACACTCGCCTTCAAAAGTTACACCACGGCGCTCGATAAGAGCCAGAAAGATTCCTTCGACATATCCGTCGTCAGCGTTCGATCTTAAGTGTAGCTCGACCAAGGAAAGACGATTTAATACACGAAGGAAATCTAGACGAAGTGCCTGTGCTCCTACTGGGGTCGCTTCGCCAAGGCGAAGCCGATCACGTTCAAGGGGATGTTCTCCCAAAGTGAAAAAAGAAAGAAAGAGTCCGAAGCCGTGCTGAAAGCATACTTGTCACCGTAGAGTGATAAGCCGAGTGGCACAGGTGATGGGAAAGTATTTTTCTTGCAAGTAAAATACAAAACTGCACAAACCTAATGTGTGTTGCGTTGTCATTGCAGCGCTACTGCCAAGTACATGGTTCTATTTGAGTAACCTGATTCTTTTTACCGTTAATTATCGCCTTAGTGGGTTGGTCCTCGTGATTAATCCTGACTATTACTTCGGTAACTTACGAGTGTTTACAATCTTTGGTTAATTTTACCCCCCACCTAATTCACTGGGAGTTGGGAATCAAGTATAGAGTGTGGCTGGAGAATTGCTAAATATTGGTAATTTTACGAGTTGACATATGGCTAGAATGTTTCTCGATTTTGCAGAACTGAGTCCTTTTTACAGCTTGCTCGATACTTTGTTTGTAAGAAAACACAGTCTTACAGAAAATGTAGCCCCGTCGAATCACTCTTGAGGATCTAAGCCAATGTAGTCTTAAAGATGGGCAATTATAAACTCCAGTAATATTGAGTTGACAATCAAACCCTCCAGAAAATGAAGCGAAGTGTGATTAAAGTGGATATCGTTTCAGTGGATGACAACCCTGACTTTTGTGCCTTGTACCATGCATTTATTGTATTCGCTTTTCTGCGTCGCTTTTTACCTTGAGTTACAAATGCAGGTCGCACGTTATTTTTCCATCGAGACCAAAACAAATTTAACCCCATCGTTAGGGATTTCGTTGAGTCCAGAGGTTCGCCCCTAATGGGGAATTTACAGACGTTCTACCGCTCCGGACAGACCAAGTGTACCTCATGTCCCGATTGCTAACTGGTCATATACGTAAGATGTTTTTGCAGATCTAATATTTTTTATGCCTTCTTGTCACTTTATTCTCACTTCAATTCTTCTCGGTCGTCCATCTGGTTTCTATCCAATTCCTGAGACGTGTTACAACGGACGGTATGCGATTACGAGTTTAACAAGGGCTTTGTAATAAGTGCAGGGGAGGTTTGGGAGATCATTGAGGGAAACAGCATGAACGGAACTCCACCCCATCGAGGTCATGACCGAGGTCAGCAAAGACTAATGAACCTGTGTTGTTCAATATAAATGGTGGTTTTGATACAATGTCTATCTGTGTGTATATGGTTGCACAGGAGGAGGAACGTTACTCGCGTCCTTGGGCGCCCTACGTCTACAACCAGCATGGTTACGCCGCGGTGGTGGGTCCGGTGCTACGGACTGTGGGCGGTGAAGGTGGCAATCGCATGCGTACGGCGTTGTCGGCGCGTGAGCATCCCCTGCTGCGTCCCAACCGCCCTCCCTGGGTGTCTCTCTCGGAGATCGTGAGGGATGCCGTCGCTCGACTACCCAATGGTGAAGGCACTCGGCCTGAGATCGCTATGCTGGTGCAGGACAGTGGCTTCCTCGTTACCTCTTTTAGCCAAAAGCAGGTTCGTTTCGTCCACGTCTCTCGACTTGAGCTACGTGATCATGTGACTTAACATACTCACACTTTTCAGTTGAATCAGTGTATCAGTTCAGCTCTTGACAGGCTGCAAAGTGAGGGAGCGAACTCACCGGTAATGTATGATCCTATCCAGCGGCTCTGGATCTACCGATTCCGGCATCTCTCTCCGCCCGATTTCTGTAAGTCGCACCCACGCATAAGTGGTATTCAAGTTATACCGAGTCTTTCAATTTTGCAGCCTTACCGCCAATCGCTTCCTCTAACATACACTAATATCAAGCTTACATGCTGTCGTGAGCCTACTCAAGATGGTAGGCAGTAGAGGTACTGCGTACGTGCGTGGAGCAGGGTGTGGTAGACGACAAAGCTTTCTGTGGACGAGGGTGTCGAGCGCCTCACATACACGGGTCTACAGAGAGCTTCAAGCACAATGGTGGCACGCTTAGTTACATTTGGATGATATGGGAGCCCCGATAACGGTCTGTCGACATTTGTCAGTGACGATCCTAGCTGTGGTAGATGTTGCAATTCCCAGTCCACAGCCTTCACGGTCCCTTCTGTGAATATCTACCCAGTACTTGGAACGCTCGCCAAGCCCTAGACGTCTGATGTACCCATAACCTGTTGTGTGATGAAGCTGGGCAAAAAGCTAATTTTTATGTGGGAGTAGGAAGCGAAAACATGAACGACCGCAAGTGTTTGCAAGTTCGAAAAGCTGGTCCGTTCGGGGTCTCAGCCATTGCCATATCCTCATGGCTTGGGCTTTGCTCCGAGCGATCTTCCAAAGATATCTCGGAGCTCACTATTTCACCACCTAGGCCGAAGAGCAGGTATCTGCGATTAGATACGCCACCATTGATAATGGAAATCTATCAGCCAAAGGTTTTTTGGTATTAGCGGCTCACTCCTGAAATCTGTCATTCTCTTGAAGTTGCAATTCCTTCCACTTATGCTAGATCGTCTTTACAAGGACCAGAGTGCCTTCCAACGCGAGCGCTTCTTCCAGATTTACCCTGGGGGTGGTTACCGGCGTCCCACAAATCGACCGCAGCCAAGGAGACGTCGCGAGGAGCCTCTTGATGATCGACATATACCGGACATTGAAGAGCTGACTCGCGAGGAGGAGGGGGATGAGGAGTACTATTCTTCGTCGACCGATGACAGTAGCAGAGAAATGGGTGATGCTTCCATGGCATTCTTCTCGCAACCGCGAAGAATGCGTCTGGAGTACAAACATCAACATCAAAGTCACCACTCTGGGGAACCGTGATGCTACGTCAGCACCACCTTTATCCTCTTTATTGTGAATGTGTATTTAGTAATTGCATTTTTATTTCAAAGCCTTCTCCCCAAACCTTGAACATTGGAGCCAGATATCTCGAATTTGCACTTGAGAATATGGCGACAATTAGATGTACCAGGGGGATATTCTACGTTACGGCGGCGGCTTGTGGGGTTTCTTCACATTGACAACGAGGTTAAAGTGGCAAGCTATGGGAACTGTGGAGATGTAGTCTAAGTTTAAAGGTGTAAAGTGTCCGATTATTACACTTTTAATATTATAATAAGATGTGGAGGCAGCGTTCCTCTTGAGTT